GAGATAGAAAACGTACGTGAGGTCGAGGCCGCTAAGCGCTTCCGCGACGACGAGCGGCCCAAAGACGTCTTGGACCTGTTTGGGCGACGTCAAATATGCCGGCACGCTTGGCATTGCGTGGCTTCTTGATGTGGGCCAAGACCTTCTCGAAGAATACCTCGGGCCGAAGGGCCTGCGCGGGCACCGTGGCGTCGCGGATCGCCTTGAACTCCTGTTGCAGCGGCGTGAGCTGCAATGCGGGCGCTTGTGGCGTGCTTGGTGCACAGTTGGCTTTAGCCACCTTGAGCGGAGTATTGACCGCCTTGAGCGAAACTGTTGGCTGCCTTCTCCTTCTTGGCCGTCTTCTTGCGCTGCGCCAAGATGGCCGCGTAGTTGATTTCGCCGTAAAACTCGGGGTTTGCCGTCTCGTGCTCAGCGGCAGTCGTTGGACGCGTGACCGGCGCAGCAACGCTTGGTCTGCCGGCCTTGATTCGAAGACGCCAGTCGTTGCTGCTGGGCGCCTTGCCTTTGCCATCTTGACGAGCACGGGAGCGTGCAGCCGCGTTGCACGACGGCGCGCACAAGGATCTGGCGGCTTGGTGTCGGACGAAGCCGCCTCGAGCAACGTAGTCTGTTCCTTCTTCTCTTTCCACTGCGCAGCATGACAACTAGTCTACTGGTGCAGCCTACACGTACATCATGTCGTGTGAGCACAGAGATGGTAGACGTACATGAGGTTGGTCGTTCTCGACGAATGTGAAAAAGCTCAAGGGCAATCTCGGGTCGGAGCCCTCGGTGGCGTGGCTCGGTGGTGGTCCGCGGCTACATATGCCTCTCTCGAGCCCCGCCTTGGATGCTGCGCAATGACCTTTTCCTTTTCCACTCCGACTGCAAGTGCGAGGTCGCCTTTGACACGCCTGGCTTGTTGGGTGATTCTAGTACTAACACCTATATAGTCATTACGTGACTAAAAGAACGCAAGTTGAACTTGACAAGGGAAAGGCAACTCGAGTTTCTGCATCAAATGGCGGCAGCTCATGGTGGCGGGTTCTCGATGACTGAGAACGGTCCCATGCCAATCTCTTCAGTCGACATGAGGAGATTATGCAAATACGATACACATCACGCGTACGACTGCCGTACTTGAGCACGGTTGTACGTTGGTACAACACTCCTCTCTCGCCTCGGTGTTAAAAGGGTACATTTGTAGCAAACTAAGTGATTTTCTTCAATGGAGCGCGGTCTTTCACATTGTACTACGACTATACGACGACAGCCAAGGCTCTGAGGCCACACGCGAGGCCTACGATCCTATGCGACACGGTGGAATGTGGATGATAGAGTCGACGGCAAGGCTCAAGCGTCGAGTTGAAGGCCGTTGGAACCAATGCTTGGGAGTACGCGCGATTGCAATACGTTCCGGTGCGCCTCCAAATAGGGCTGTTAGCGCATCTCCACCCGACGATACAATGCCACGCATCCTCAGGTCAAGTCGACCGCGACGCTGCAGCGAGATCGAAGCCGACTCGACCTTGGCTCGGGTTTGTCAACGCCAGCACCAGTCGGTCGGCGCCGTCTCGGCACCGCCTCTACTCGGCTCGACTCGGCATGCACCTCGCTCGAGACGTTGATCAACGGCGGCTCAGGTTTTATTATTACCACTAGCCTGGTACCACCTCCCGACCACCCAACAAGGTGAATACACGCCGACGGCTTTGCCCCCAAGCAAGTTAAACTTGCCTTGGCACGCAAAGTCCTCCAATGCGTCAGTGAAAATGGTTAGAGACACCTGCAGGTGCCGTTACAGTAGCATGAAATTGCGTCGCGCAAGTCGGCGAGTACGCGGAATAAGATTTCGAAACGAAAACTCAATGCGACATCGCCGTGTAGAGGACACTCGATCTGGAATTGGAACGTCGTCCGTCACAGAAAAGATTGTTCATGCTAGTACGATAGCACTCGATTAATGTTTTAGCGTGCAGCTCCGCCGAGGCTCATGGCAGCGACTCACGTTTGGACGAGAAGTCCGTCAAATTGTACTAGGGGTAGGTCTTCCACCGGGGACTGCAGTGAACAAAAGGCGCGCGAACCTAACCATACCTCTTCTATTCATTGACTGGACAACGATCGACGCCACTGGATGCTTCCGGAAGACGTCCAACAATACTGCCTCCAAGGCTATTGCTGCCCGGATATGTTGCTTTATTACATGCACCACTGGGACTGGACGGTGGGTCGTGCAATGCTGAGAGGGGACGCAATGGACGTTCTGAGAGGCTTTCCGAGTGTGACCGAGGCAAAGGTTTGGGCCAACGGACGTTTGAGCTCGTTGACAATGTAGCGCGACGGCGACGCGGCGTCCGGAATCGCTGCGTGGTGGCGCGAAGCAGCGCCGTCCAAACTGCACATGAGACTCAATCGGATCTTGGCTTGGAGAACATCGTTTTCGTAGCAGAGGAGGAAGACATCGGCGGCGCGGCTGCAAATCGCAGGCGACGCTTGGTACTTTGGGTTGAGCTCGAGGATCGAGTAGAGCGTGCCACCCAGTGAAACGAGGTCGTCGTCGTCGTCTTTTCTCCAGCGATGGACGCCGAGAGCTGCAAGCAAAAGCCGGTTCTTGAAGTTGTTGTTGCGCCAGCTTGTGTAGAAGGACCGACTGAGCGGTGCAACTTTTCGAGGGCCTGGAACTAGCGTATCAGAGTACAGTCGATATGACCAGTGACGTACGCAGATAGGGCGCACCAAAGCCGTAGAGCAGCGGCATGGAACCCATGAGAACCATGTAAAAGACGGCGACAGGAAAGACTTCAATCGCTTTGTCTTGGTCCGTGAGAAGACACTCGAGGAGATAGCTGTACGTGGATAGAAAGAAGCTCACGTTGCTGCCAAGCCACGTCAGGAGTGGGCCGTAGATCGAGACGACGACCGCCAACAGCGTCGGGTCGACTTGAGAAAAGCGATGCTCGTTGCCGCAGCGCTTGAGCCAGCGCGAGACGAGGCAGATCGCCGCATACGCAATCCAAACCTAACAGCAACAAGGCTAAAAGCGAAAATAAGAGCTTAGTCGTACGACGCGGGAGAGGTATAAAAACGAGATGAGCAGCAGCGGAATGTCTTGGTTTTGGCTCGATTGAAGAATGGCCACGCCGAGCGTATCCGAGCTGATCCAAATGTCGAGCAGAAAGGCGACGGCGACGTTGGAGTTCATAAGAACCAGCGCTGTCGGGTCGCCAAGCACGACCACGTAGCGCCACGCACCCGCATTTTTCAAGTCGGTGCGGTGCCCATGGACAGCAAGAACGCGCTCCAGCTGGACGTACGGGCCATAATACCGGCGCCAGAGCAGCAGCAGAACGTAGCACGTCAGACACAGTCGATAGAGTAGCTTGAGCCAAAGCCACTCGGGGTACGAGTAGATGCGGAGGACGTAGTACAAGGTGTACGTGCCGGTGGTGTCGCGACCGAGCATGTCATCGCCTGCGACAAGCCAGATGCATGCTTCGCCGAGGTTGATCGTTAGCATGCGCGTGTGACCGCAAATGCCTCGATGGTTCCAGCTGGTATCGTTATGGTCGGTGGCGGCAAACTCACACAGCAGCGATCGCATGCTCTCTCCAAAATAGATGGAACCGGGCAGCCCGACGAGGAAGTGACGATGGCAGTCGTCGGCGGACATGGCCGGTGTGTTGGCTGTCTGCACCGTCATTCGCAGCACGTGTACGCTGTGGGTCGTGTTGACGCCGAAGGTCGCACCGAGGGGCAGCGAGATGCGGTTGTACAGGCGCTGGTAGCGTGCCAAGGCCGAGGTGTTGAACGCTGTAAAGTTGGATGGCAACGTTGGGATGTTGGGGTCGATGTCCCACGGCCATGGCTCGGAGAGGTACGCCTTGAGCGGCTAGGGCACATTAAACAGTGCTTGCATATTCATGGGGTACCAAGGAGGCGAGGTTGGTGAGCATGATGAGACTGATTGCTAGCGCAGTGCGGTGCCGCTTGAAGCGCGGTGGCTTCTTGGCCGCACGCACCAGCTCGGACGTCGGTCCTACCTTGGAGCTTTCCATACTCCGACGTTGGACGTTGCGTTTTGCAGGTTGGCGAATGGTTTCTATTTGGGTCAAACCACCCCGCGAAACCTCCAGAAAGGGTGGCATTGTCCGATGGCCGGCCGGATGACATCTCCTAATCTTGGATTGACATCTCCAACGGACGAAAACGAGTGGCTACGAACTGCTGGACATTCCTCAAGCGACTGGGTGGTGGGCTAGGGCAGTTGGGAAAATACGTTCTCGGTCGAGGGCGATCAAGCCAATGCTGCATCTTGCACAGCTGTCAGCTTGTGTGCAAGAAAGGATATTTTATTGTGCCTTTGGTGCAAGGAATGGTCCGATCCGTGCTCCAGGTCCACGCATTGAGGTCCACGTTTCATGCAACCTGCAAGGGTCGTACAGCGAAGGAACATTCCCTGCCAAGCCCACCGGTCGTGCTGTGTTGTCATTAAAGATGTCGGTCGCCCTTCTCAAGAAAGCTACCATGCCCCAAGAAGTAACTGCTCCATGGGCCATTTCAGTGCTCGGGAGGAGTGCAACCTGTGCTATTGCGCTGGAGTTCACACTGTGGGCTCGAACAATGTACCTCCGCGAATTCCTAGCTCTTTGCTCCGCGACGGACAAACGCCGTGCTGTCAAGTGACGACCGCTGACTTCTTTGAAACTGGCCGTTTCTCCACACCAACCTCGGGGCTATTTACAGCGACGCAAGGATGCGCGGCACCAAGATCGTACCAGGTCCGTGCCGCGCCGCGGTGCTGCGTTCGTACTGCAGCGTCCAGTACCACCGCGGTCTCGCAGCCATGAGTCTCCTTCTCTCAGCGTCCCTCGTCGCCATGGTACATTGCGCCTAGGACCAAGCTCAAGCTCATGTGCATGTAGCCGTTTGAAGCCTACATTTCCGAGACACTGCCATGGGCGACCGCGTTGCCCGTGGCCCATGACCTGAGCAACCTAACGCTCTTCAACCAAACGGCCCTCGCAACGCACCAAGCGCTCTACTCGCACTCGACGCTGCCCGACGGCGCGACCTATGTGTTCGATGTTTCGCGCAATGCCCACGTGTGCCGACATGCCCTGTCGACCACGAGCAGCTCCCTGAGTCTCCCGGGGGTCCTCTTCTACGGCAGCGCGATGGCCGACCTCTTGCGGTCGTTTGCCCACGACTCGGTCAGTGGTGCGTGGCATCTACGGGGCACGTGTGTCGTTGTGCGTTTTATCACACTGCCATTGGCACACCAATGCATTTGGCTTACAAGAGATGGCTCTCTCGACAGCGCGGAGTATACGCTGACGTATGCGCTAACGCAATACCCCTACCCGGCGCTCATCTGGTTCAAATTTTGGTGGCGGGCGGGCACGACGGTGCTGCTCCTCGGCTTGCTCTGGCGACGTTATTTTGGCCCGCTAATGGGCTTGGCGCGCACCCTGGCCGTGTACGGCCATCACAATGACTTGGCGCCTGTCTGTACGTGGCGCTACGAGCTCATTGCAGGCGACCCAACCGCACCCTTGCTCGTGGACCCGCTGGTCGTTAGCGCCTTCTTTGTCGATTTTACTCTGAGTCCGCACATGGTGGCCGTCGCCGTGCTTCGGTTGCTTCAAGTGACAGACATTGGCGCGTTGTGCAAAGCGGCCATCTACCTCTTCCGCATGGTACACGCCGGGGGCCTTTTCATTGACCTTTTTAACGTCCGAATCTCGTAGGTTTGGTTTGCCTGCTTCTCGCTTGTCGCGGTCAACAAGCTGCTCAAGCGCTATCGCCTCGAACACGTCTTTACAGAAGTCGACCCGATGTGGCTCGGCCTCACGGTGCTGGTCGTTGGCCCGCTTGTTTGGGTCACCAACGTAGCGCTTCCGAGCTTCTTGGACGCCTATCGCTACCTCCTCGTATGCTGGTATACCAACGACCGTGTTCAAATCGAAGTCGCGGTCGCCGGCACCGTCTATATTCTCATCATTGCAACGATTCCGCTCTGCTTTGGCCTGCGTCCAGCGCCCTGTCGACGCCGACGCGTGCAGCGGGTGCGCTACAGCAGCTTTTTGTACAACTCGACCAAAAATCGCGTGCTTTTTTCGCTCGTGCCGGCGCTGCGCGGCAAGGACGACAAGGACATGGGCGGCTCGATCTATCAGCTGTTTCGTCGCTGCGCCCGCGCCAAGGCCCTCCCGGTTGTCAACACGCGAGGAACCGACTGCTACCTGCTTTGCTACTGCAACAACTTGCTGCACTCCAAGATTCGTTTGAGTCTCATAGCGCATCTCGACCTTCAGAGCAGTGACCATATCGTTGAGATTGTACCGGGCGCGAGTGCCTACTGCTTCAACTACCTTGTCGTTCCCGACCACGAGGCAGCAGCCGATCAAAAGGTGTTTCGGCCGCAGCTTTTGTGTTCCCTGAATGCGTCGCCGTGGTGTATGTGACTATCAATCGAGTTTCGAATGGGCCCACTTTGCACGAGACATATGATGTATTATGTTGTGGGGGCCATAGCTGACTGCGTCGACGGCGTTGCAGATTATTTTGTTTTGTGAGAGTGCGAGCTTTCATGTAGCGAGTCGGGTCACAGGGGGCGCTCCGTCAACCGCAGACTCCGAGCGACCAAGTGCTATTAACTCATTCCGACACTTTGTATGCAAAGTCGTGACGCTTATTTTGGCAAATTTCACTTCAACGTTCAAGACGTTTAAACGATTCGTAGGTGAAGGGGTGGGTGGTGCATACTACGTTTGGCTAATTCATTGTCCTTTCTTGACGCAATCACGAGACGATAGACGACAATTTACTGCCGTCGTAGGTTGTACGAGGTGTGCAAGCATCGAATTACAAGCACCAGACCGACGGCTGGGCCGGTTTATGCAGCGCAAAGGAGCTGACACCTTCTTTGGTCGTCTCAACGAGCTCGTTAAAGTGATACGGCGTCGACGTCGTCGCCTCAAAAATCGCGGTTTCACGCGTGTCGAGGGAGCTCAGAAAACTGAGGCGAATTTTCTCACGCAGCTCGCCGTGGCGATAACACAGCACAAAGCAGTCGGCGCTCCGGAGGCTAAATGTCGGACAGTTCTTCAAGCGCGCGCTCGCGTTGTACGCGGCGTACACAGTGCCGCCTCTCGCAATCATGTGAATATTGTTGGTGCGGAACGGACGGAGGAGCGCCAGAAGGATCTGGTTCTTGAGGTTGTTGTAGCGGTGACTACTGTACGCATGTTGCCTCCGGCGAAAACACCAAAAAAAAACTAGCAGATCCATCATAAGACCATCGAAACGACACTCGAACCGCACCCCGGCAGTGGACACGCGGAGCGAGGAAGCCATAGAGCACCGGTAGCACCGCGATGAGCAGTGTATAGGCGGTACAGCCGACAACAAGCTCGTTTTGCGTGGAATGGTTGGTCGATGGCACGAGACACGTAAACATCCACTGGTAAAATACTACGAGGAAGCCGACGTTGCCGCTCAGCCACGAGATGAGCGGACCATAGAACGCGATCGCGATCGCCACCAACGTCGGGTCGACCTCGGCAAACGAACGTTCCTTCTTCCATTTTTTGAGACAGTACGCCGTGACGCAGAGGCCGCAGTAGGCAAACCACACCTATGCAATAGTTCAACATCAAAAATGTCAAAATCCAATGGCACGTACCGTCCGCGAGAGATAGACAAAGGTCACAAACATGATGTAGAGGTCGCCGTTCTGGGATGCGCGCAAGACCGCAATGCCGACGTTGGCCGTGCTCAGCCACATGTCGATCAAAAAGGTGGTCGCGACCCACGGATCCCGCAGAATGATCGCGGTCGGGTCGCCCAACACAAGCTCGTAGCGCCACTCATTCGCGCTCACATCGGTCCTGTGACCGCTCGTTTGCAAGAGATGCTCCAGATGATAGCAGTGTCGGTAGTATTGCGTCCACATGCGGTACAAGACAAAGATCGTGTTGCCGATGCGGTAGACAAATTTGAACCAGAGATACGCGTCAAACCGTGTCGCACTGAACGCGTAGGTGAGCGTAAAGAGTCCTTCGGACGCATTACGCACTTTGATCGCATCGCCCGCCTCGAGCCAGAGACACGACCGGCCAATCTCAATGTTGCAAAAGAGATCGTAGAAACACGAGCCGCGGTGGTGCCATGCTGACGCCGAGACATTGGTCGCGCTCGCGAGGTCGCAGACCATGTCGAGTTGGGCGTCCGTGTAGTAGATGACGCCGGGAAGCCCGAGGAGAAACGACTGCAAGCATGTCGCTCTTGGGATCGGCGCGGGCAAGGCAATGGCCTTGCGGAGCACTTGGACGTCGTTAATGGCGTCTTCGTAGTAGGATGTGCCGGGTACGAGCGTGTAAGCGTTGTACAAGCGCTGGTTCTGCGCCAAGAAATCCGTGTTGAACGCCGAGTAATTGGCATACGAAGTGTTGAGGAGCGGCGGTGCGGACCACGGAACGTACTCGGAGAGGTACGCCTTCATGGGCTATCAACAAATGCAGAGTGTATGAAAGTGGCGGTGATGATTCGGTGTTGGTACCATGGAGGTAATGTTGAAAAGCATTGCGCAGCTGATGGTTAGCGCGATACGATTGCGACGCACGCCAAAGCTGCGCACGTCGGCCCACGCGGGCGAACTGATGTCGGCGACCTTGGCCATCCTTGCTACAGGCGCTCTCTATCTTGAGGGTCCGTTACGCATCTATTCCAAGCAATGTTTGGACCAACGGTATCGCGCGCCAATGGAGAAACAAATCACAGGGTGCTCAGTTTCAGTTTCTGTTGTTGAAATGAGTCTTTCGAATTTTACGGATTAAGGGTCCTATTTCTAGGGTCGTCCGGCCTCCAACCTAATTTCCGGTAGGCACGAATTTCCGGCATATGTCGTTTTCATCTTGCTTCTTCCTTGTGTTCCTTGTGGCACTTGCCGAGCGTGGCCTTATTATGGTGACCGTCTTCAGTGACATTCGTGTCCGGATGGGGGGGGAAATCCGGATAGAAAAATCGGCGCGTCGGGTTCGAACCGGCGACCTCGGGAGGCAGAAGCAGTCAGTTTCAGTTTCTGTGCTCGAAACCGGACAGCTCGCTTTGATTATCTAAAAGCTAGCCAATCAAATAAAAAAACTTTTGATTTGCTACCTTTTGGCCAATCAGAGAGCATTAAGTGGTTTTGGGCACAGAACCTGTGCGGGTTTGGAATTTTACCCGGCATAGCGAGTGCGGTGCGGTGGAAACAATGTGTCTTTGAACTCGAAGATTTACCTTCATTTATAGAGACGGCTGCGGCGTGTCGACTCGTAGCGACTTGCTACGGAACGGCGAGGCGTGCGGATGGCAGCGCATTGAAGACGGAACAAAGTAAAGTGGTCGCAGCGCTTGATAACAAAAAATAATGACAGGAATCATTATCACCGAAAATCCAAGCAGGTGCCTCTGTCAAATGATGAGTGCCCAAGACAAATGCTCCTTCCGGTCCTCGTGCAAAAACTCTTTTTGCCCAAGACAGCCTGCCTATATTTAGCTGTTTTCATGCTTGGCGCCAAGGTGGCGGCGAGCCCGACGCTGGACACCCTCCAACTGGCAACGCGTCGGCGCCACAAGCTTCGACATGACCCGTGCCTCTTCATCGTGAGCCTCTTCATCTCCATCTCGATGATCATTATGGTGCGGTGACCCATGCAACCGCAATATGATCTTATATTCGATACAATCCTATATATATGTAGCCGCTGGAGGCGTACGTCTCCGAGATGTTTCCGTGGACTGCCCCCGCGCCGTTCAACCCGCCATTTGCGACGTTTGCAGAGTTCAACGTCTCGACGCTAGCTACCGCCCAAGCGCTCTACAATCGAGATACGCTGCCAAGGGGTGCTCCCTACGTCGCCAACCCAGAGCGCAACAGCTACGTGCTTCGACGTCTCGTCCGCCCTCTCAATACCTCGTCTCTGATGAACGACTCGAGAGGGTGCTAGACGGCTTTTCTCGTGGGACTGCCCGGCGTCGTTTTTTATGGTCCCGCCATGAACGATATTTTGTGCACATTTGCAGCATCGCGGGGCGAGTTGCTGTCGCCGACCCCTGGGACTTGCTTGACTGTGACGTTTCTCTCGCTTCCGATCGCCAACGAGTGTCTATGGCTCCAGCGTGGAAACGACTTGGCCATGACGAATCACAGTGGTGATTTTACGTTGACGTTTGCGCTGACGCAGTACCCGTACCCGTGGTTGCTCTGGCTCAAATTTGTCACCCGCGTTGTCTCTACAAGTGCCATTTTGCACTGTCTTTGGTTCAAGTACTACCGCCATTACTTTTCACATGCTCGCTTTATTCGCCAAAATGGACATCAGAACAACCTCAAGAAAAAATATGTGTGGCGCTACCACCTCATTGCGGGCGACCCAACCGTGATCCTCGTCACCACCCCGGTGGTTGTCGGTGGTTTCTTTATGGATTTGTGTCTCTCGCCCCATGTAATCGCTGCGTCTGTGCTCAAATTACTGCAGATCAACAACATCACGACGCTCCTTAGCGCGGCGCTCTATCTCTTTCGCATGGTATATATTGTGGGATGTACAATGTGTCGTGATGACAACATTCTAGGTCTGGATCGCATATATGTCGCTCTGTGTCACCTCGTATGGTCTCAAAAAGTACCGCAAAGAGCATGTGTTTGCCGAAGTTGATCCGACGCTCATGACGGTCACGATTGTGTTTTACGGGCCGTTCATTTGGCTCCTCGGCGGGTTTGTCCCATACTTTCTCGAGTGGTGCCAATGGCTCTTGGTGTGCATCGAGCCAGCGCCCGCGGAGCGCATCGAAATCGTCTTTGTTGGTAGCGTCTACATTGTCCTCGTGGCCTGGCTCCCGCTCTCGTACGGCTTTGCCGCCGGGTATCGCCGTTCTGGTATGGTATTTTCATTTTGCGCAATATTTGGGAGTTGACTTTTCGTGATGATATGGATACGGGATATTTTGAGAACTTGAGATAGACTATGATATGCTATATGGTAGGCAAGCCCCGGCACGACGCATTGACCAATTTTGCTGGCTACGCAAGCTTCAAGTACAACTCGCTCAAGAACCGAGCACTCTTCACCGTCGCTCATCCGCTCCGCACCAGCGACGCCAAGTTGGGCACATCGTATGGCGGCCTCATGTATGCTCTGTTCGATTGGAACCCGCGGTACAAGGCGGTGCCGACCATGAACCTCCGCGGCGCCGACTGCTTCCTTCTCTGCTACTGCAACGACCACCTAGCGTCCAAGATTCGACTAAGTCTTCTGCACGCGCTCGACTGCAATATCGACGACCCGCAACGGGCGATTCGGACCAACCCAACGCCGTCGCAGTACCCGGCAAACACACTCGAGATCACGCAGCTCGTGTCTGTACAAGGGTCGTTCGCGCTACTGCCGTCGCCAGCGCAAATCGCGCTCTCTCGGCCACGCGAGCCATCGCTTTGGTGCATCTAAAAGTTTACTCGACATATAATGAATGCCCCAACATGAGCACGACGCGTGAGTGACTTCAACTCTACCTCGATTAAGGTGTCTCGTCGTTGTCGAATTGCGAGAATACCGGTTTGGATCCACAGCAGAGAGCCTATCGTAAAGAGGCTTCTCCGTCTACTTCGCGCCTCGCCTCTTTCTACCTTGTTTACTGTCTGCATTAGCCACAAAACGAATTTGGTCCGTCTGTTTATAGAGCAGTGCACCAAAGTCGTCTATTTTCGAATGGGCGAGACCACCCGCGTCGGTCCTAGTCCGACGGCGGTGCGCTTCTGCGTACGGCGGAACCGCTCGGCCATGCTTGTAAGCCTTATCATGTTGCTCAATATCCTCTCCATGGTACGACATTCCATGTGTACTGTCCACACTTGACAGCGCTGTAGCCCATGAAGGCGTACCTCTCCGAGTTTCTCCCGTGGCAAACCGTCCCGGCACTACCCGACGCATTTGCCAACTATTCGAGCTTTTCGAATGCGACGCTAGCGTACCAGCAGGCGCACTACACGCCGTGGACGCTGCCGAATGGCTCCAAGTACTTTGACGACGCTGCCATGGACGTCCAAGTGCTCCGGGCGACGCTGAATTTGACAAACCATGAGCCAATACGGTCTCGCGCCGACTGCCTAGCGTCGTTCGTACTGGGCCTGCCAGGCTTGATCTACTACACGCCAGTGCAATTGGACCTCGTCTGTGCCCTCGCCGCGGACGCTGACGTCAACGCGTCATCCTGGGACAAGGTTGGCGCGTGTTACGTTGACAAGTTTTGCACCATCGTCATTGGCCACTCGTGCGTGTGGCTGAGCGCCGGTGATGCGGTCCATGGCGGAGAGCTGTCGCCACACGTGGTGACGATCACGTACACGTTTACGGGCACCCGCTTGAGCCAATGGCTGTGGTGGAAGCTCGGGTTCCGCACCGTCTTGACGATCTTTGTCGCGTGGCGTCTCTGGCAACAATACTACGCGCATTGCCAGCGCCTCCAAGAGTGTTTGGCTGTCCGCGGACACTGCGCCAACCTAAGTCCGACCGAGTGGCGCTACGAGCTCGTATTGGGCGACCCGACCGCCATCATTCTCATGGACCCAAGTGTCGCATGCGCGTTTGTCGTAGATATTTGGATCAGCACCAACTCGGTCGGCATTGCGGTCTTGCGCGCGTCCCAGAACGGTGACCTCTACGTCATGTTTGTGACGTTTGTCTATCTCTCGCGGACGGTTTGTGTCACTGGATTTTGGCATTTTTGATGTTGGACTATTGCATAGGTGTGGTTTGCCTACTGCGCGCTCTGCGTCGCGGCCTACTGCTTGAAGAAATGGAAAATCGAGCATGCGTTTACCGAAGTCGACCCGACGCTCGTGGCCGTCGGTGTTGCGATCTACGGCCCGCTTGTCTCGTGGCTCAGCGGTAATGTCGGCTTCCTTGCGCTCTTGTACCAATGGACGTTTACACTGCTTGTGCCCTCGTCCTTGCTCGGCCAGGAAAACGAACTCGGGCCGGGCTGCGCCATGTACACGCTACTGATTGCGTGCCTTCCACTGGCCTACGGCTTTGCCATCCCGGCACTGCGCCACCGTAAACGAGAGTACGCGATCGCATGTCTCATAGCGCGACTAGGGTTCTGCAAGCACCGAAGCAAGACGCCCAATTATGCGAGTCCGTTCTACAACAGCATCAAGAACCGGACGATTTTCGGTCTCTTGGCGCCGTTCCGACCCTCGGCCGACGTGTATCCAGTCGAAGCGACCAAGCGGATTCTCGAGCGCGGCGGCGCCATCTACTCGCTCTTTGCGACCAATTCGCGGTACAAAAATTGTCCGACCATCAGCCTTCGAAGCGCCGACTGCTTCCTCCTCTGCTACCACAACGAGTCGCTCGTGTCCAAGATACGGCTGAGTCTTCTCTGCAGCCTCGACTGCAACGCTGCGACACCCGAGCTCGCGGTGGAGAATGCTGAAGGCAAAGCCGCTTTCATCGCGAATGAAATTACGTGTGGTCACAGTGGTCGACCTACCATGCGCCGACCCACGGAAGCCTCGCCCTGGTGCATTTGAGCGATCTTGACTGTCCATTTTTGACCTTGGATCTTAGCATTTCCAAAATTAGCGTATTTGTAGTATGTTTTTGAAGCAATCTCATTGCGCCGATATGACGTAACCCAAATCCTGTTTGACAAAGCCGATCGTGCTCGTGGCATGACACGGGTGTCGTCTGAAGCTGAAGACACGCGATGGACGACATCGACGCGCAAGCACATCCCCATTCATTCATTTTCTTGGCGCACGCAGATTCGCTGTTGCACGAGTAGAAAGGTCGTCGACTATATATATACATTCACTGGAATGGCCAAGGTTCCGGTCGTGGCAGGCCCCGCGCGCGAGTTTCGCGTGCGCCGGAATCGCGCCGCGTTGCTTCTCAGCTTCGCCATGCTGGCCAACCTCATATCGATCGTACGTTCGCCTCTTGCAACCCTCTTTACGGTGGGGTGGTGTAGCCTGCCCGCGCGTACCTCTCCGAGTCGTTTCCAGGCATCGCCCCGACCATCGTCTCGCCCGTCTTTGCGCCGTTTGGAGCTTTCGAAAACGCAACGCTCTCTGCCTACATGACCGCGTACAGCGACGTATCCGCGCTCGGGTACCAGTACGACCAAACGAGCAGCATCTACGTGCTGCGCCGTACGCTCGACATGTCGGCGACGCCCACTGCACTGCGCTGCGTCACGGATTTTGCCTTGGGTCTCCCCGGCCTCATCTACTACACCGGCGCCCAACTCAACTTTCTCTGCGCCTTCCTCGCCAGCGATATTCGGCGAGCGTATGTGAACCACGGCGCGTGCCACGTCGATCGGAGCTGCGCACTGGACATTGGCTACTCGTGCATTTGGCTCTCGCAGCGAAAAGAAGATCCGCCTGACGTGTACGTTCTCTCGTATGCGTACACGGCGACCCGCTGGAACGATTGGCTTTGGATCAAGTTGGTCTATCGCATTGGCATCACGGGTCTAATTGCTCAGCGTCTCTACAGCGGCTACTTCAAGCACGTGCGCGACCTCGAGACGATCTTGCGCTCGCACGGGCACTGCCTCGGCTTGGACGCGCATACGTGGCGGTACGAACTCGTACTGGGGGACCCCACGGCAATTGTGCTCATGGACGGGTGGGTCGCCTTCGCCCTTGTCGTCGATACGTGGCTGAGTACAAATACGATCGGTGTCGCGATACTTCTCGCCGCGCAGGCAGACGACCTCTGGGTGATGGCTCTGAGCTTGGTGTACCTCTCTCGCACGGTATGTATTTTCGATGTCGTTGATGGACAATAGGACAATGCATGGCACTAGGTCTGGTTTGCTTACTTTGCCCTCTGCGCGGTCGCACATGCCTTGAAGAAATGGAGATGCGAGCACGCGTTCTGCGAGGTCGACCCGACGCTTGTCGCTATCGCCGTCGCCATCTACGGCCCGCTGCTGTCTCAACTGAGCGTTTTCGTCGAGTGGCTCGTACGCTTGTACCACTGGCTCTTTGTCGCGTTTGTGCCAAACGACGCAAAAGCGCATGAGAACGAACTTGGACCTGGCTGTGCCATGTACACGCTCATGGTTGCCAGTCTCCCACTGTTGTACGGCCTTGCCCAACCGCCGTGGGCTCGCCATAGTACGTATATTGACTTGATGTACATATTCGAATATGCGTCGTAGGGACAAGGTGGAGGCACAAGGTCGCGCCGGCCGTGCTGCAAGACTATGCCAGTCCACTCTACAACAGCATCAAAAGCCGCCTTTTGGTGCGCTTTCTATCGACTTTGCAAGCGCCGGCACCGCGCGCTGAGGGCGGCTCCGTGTACGCTCTCTTCGCAGCCAATTCGCGCTACAAAAACTGTCCGACCATCAGCCTTCGAAGCGCCGACTGCTTTCTCCTCTGCTACCATAACGAGGCACTCGTGTCCAAGATGCGTCTGAGCCTCCTTGGCAGCCTCGACCGCAACCTTGGCGACCCGACATTGGCCGTCCGCATTGCCTCTGTCGTTGCCACCTCCAACATGAACGAGCTCGTGCTCCACCCGGGTCAGCCACCGACAATTCGACGCCCTTGGATTCCGTCGCCGTGGTGTATTTAACAACCCACTACTATAGTTTATGCTGAACTTGTCTGAGTTTCTACGGACATTTGCCGCGACGAGTCTTATTCGACCAGATAAAATATTTATCGAAAAACACTCGTTCGTATTGACATATGAGCCTCGCGCTGAGGCGGACCGGTGTCTCCCGATGCCACGTCATACGTAGTTTTCTATCAATAGAGTTGCCAGAAAGGACAACATGACCAAGGTGGCGCCGGCGGGTCCAGCCGTGTCGCTGGTCCACACGCGCTTTGAGGTGCGCTGGACGCGATTCTCAGTCGTTGTGAGTCTCGCGATGGCCCTCAACATCGTCTCCATGGTATGTTCCTTTCACTCGATCCTGCCGACACCTTCCGTGTGGCCGATGAAGGCGTACTTGACCGAGCAGCTGCCGTGGCGAGGCGACAACACGCCATACCCCGTCTACGACTCGTACGCTGCCTTTAGCGCCTCGTACTTGGCCGAGAACCAAGCGCGCTTCAACCGGTCCACACTCCTGCACCAGCGATCGTACTACGTTGACGACGCGACGCGCACCGATGTCATCCGTGTCGCTCTCGACATGCGCCGACGCACGCACGACGACTGCATCGACTTTCTCTTGGGTCTGCCGGGCCTCATCTTTTACGGTGGCAACATGCGTCGCTTTCTTTGCGACTTTGCCGCATCGCCCCGTGGACTCAATGGGACGGACGACCAGCGCTGGCACCAACGCGGTGTCTGCCAGTACGGCTTGTTTGCCGGCACCACCGTCGGCAAACAGTGCATTTGGCTCACGACCGGCGACGACCTGACACAGGATGACGCACCGGGGGTCTTTACCCTCACGTTTATCTTTCAGCTGCCCCGGTTTTATGTGTGGCTCTGGGTCAAATTCGGGTACCGCTGTCTCATTAGCTTGTACGTGTGCTTCGAAATGTGGCGCGAGTACTACCGCCACTGCACACACCTCTGCGCGATCGTCCAGCGCTTTGGCCATACCGTTCCGACGCCGACATCTTTGGCGTGGCAGTACGACCTCGTGATGGGGGACCCGACCGCGCTCATCCTACTCGATCCGGTCGTCTCGGCTGCCTTTACGCTCGACGTGTGGCTCAGTATGGAGTACATGGGCATTGCCATGGTGCGTGCGACGCAAATCGCCGATCTCTACACGCTCTTTCTCGCGTTCATGTACTTTTCCCGCACGGTATATGGCGAGTGGGTGTCCATATTAAACCATAGACTTTCGTTTGCTAGGTTTGGTTTGCCTATTTGGCACTGAGCGTCTCGTCCAAAGTTCTCAAACGCTTTGCGAAGGAACACGTCTTTGCCGGCGTGGACCCGACGGTGGTCGCGATTTGTGTCGCCGTGTACGTCGTCCCAGTCGACTACCTCCAAGCCAACACCCGCATCGTAAATGCGTACTACTGGCTCTTCCGTGTGCCAGCCTCGCGCGACACGCAAGACGAGCAAGTCGACGTGCTGCTTGGCTGTGTGCTCTTGACCATCTCGATAGCTCTCTTTCCCGTACTCTATGGGGTTGCCCGATCGCGCTGCCGTAGCGCCTTGATCGGTTGGCGTCTGCTGAGCATTATGCGTAGGGTCAACGCCAGCATTGTCGAGCCGCCGTGCCGCATACAGCAGCCAAGCGTACAACGGCGTGAAAGCGCGGCTCGTGCTCTTCGTCTTGCGCCGCTTTCGTCGACGCGATCGCCAAGCGCTTGCCTTTGGCGGCACCTTGTACGCTGTGTTTGAGGCCAACCCGCGCTACAAGAGGTATCCGACGATCAGTCTTCGGTCCGTCGACTGCTTTCTCGTTTGCAAAAGCCATGGAGTCCCCAAGCAAATGATTCGTCTCAGTCTCCTGCGGAGCTTGGACTGCCACCCGACGAACCCGCACTTGACAATCACGGACGGCAGCACCGAGAGCGTCGTCAACGTTTTGGACCGCATCGAATGCACGGGCACGTCGTTTTGCATACACCGGGGCATTGCGCGCACTGCGTGGTGCATGTAGCCGACAGACATAAGAACGTATTGGCTATATATGTGACCACGTTCGTAGCCCATACATATATATTTCCTCGGTAATGTCGATGGAAGGGCGTTGGGATCTAGTTAGTGGATCGCACCATTGATATCAACTAGGGCTTCATAATATGACGTCCTTTGCACAGCGATTTTAGCAAGGATTTTACTGCAAAAGTCAGGACGCTACCTGGTCGTAGACAATATCTCGGCACGTAGCTCTCAAGTATTTCGATGCAAAACTCTCACAGTATTTTGCGCCAAGCTTTTTGGGTGCACTCTGCGCACAGAGCACAGCGCATCGTCCATGCGTTGTCCCGCACTCCCAATCTGTCGTCAACGACCTCCAACGACCTCTTTTTGAAACCGCCGCGCGCTGCGGTGCTGCCACGTCAGCAAACCTAATCTTAGATACAACCGTCCAGTCGCGCGATGACGCAGGTCGCACCAACGCGATGGGAGCTACCCTCGTCCTCCGAGTTGAGTGCGAAGCTCGACTTCCCCGTCCGTTGGAACAAGATCTCGGTACTTATCAGCGCCGCCATGCTCATCAACATCGCCTCCATGGTACATGCTGCCTGAGTTTGAGATGGACTCACGCGGTTGTAGCCGCTGAAAGCTTACTTGTCCGAGCAAGTCCCGTGGCGCGCAAGCGAGGCCCCCGAGCCTGTGTTTGCAAACTATTCGGCCTTCAACGCATGGTACCTCGCATCAAACCAAGCCCGCTTCAACCGGCAGACGCTAGCCCACGCGTCGTCCTACTATGTCGACGATAGCACACGCACCGATGTCATTCGTGTGGCCCTCGACATGCGCACCTCACAGCCCGAGTCGAGTTGCATCTCGTTCTTGCTGGGCTTGCCGGGACTCATTTTCTACAGCGGTGGTTTTTGGAACGTTCTCTGCTCGTTCGAAGCGATCGACCACCGCAACGCAACCCTTGGCGATGCCTTGCGCTGGGACAAGGTCGGCGCGTGCCAGTACGGCAAGTTTGCCTCCGTCCTCGTCGGGCGGCAGTGCGTTTGGCTCACGACCGGCAACGATTTAACCGGATTTGACGCGCCTGGAGTCTACACGCTCACGTTTACCTTCCAGCTCGGCCGCTTCTACAATTGGCTGTGGTGCAAATTTGCGTACCGCGTTGGCCTCACATGCTACGTCCTGCGCGTCATGTGGCGCGCCTACTACCGCCACTGCTTGCATTTGGCGCGGACGCTGACGACCCACGGGCTACAGCGACGCACTCCTCCATGTACGTCGTTTGAAATTGTCGTTGGGGACCCAACGGCCCTCGTATTGCTCAACCCGATCGTCTCGACGGCGTTCACGTTGGACATTTGGTTCAGTATGGAGTACATGGGCATTGCCATGGTGCGCGCGACGCAGTTTGTGGATCTCTACACGCTCTTTCTCGCCTTCTTGTACTTTTCCCGCACGGTACGGCCACAATTTTTATCTTTTTATGGATCCCATGGATGCATTTCGTCTAGGTATGGTTTGCCTACCTCGCGCTCGCGTTCACATCGCGCTGTCTCAAGCGGTATCACAAAGAACACTGGTTTGTCGAAGTCGACCCGACGATCGTTGCCGTCTGCGTCGCCGTGTACTCGATCCCGGTCGACTACCTCCAGGCCAACACCGTCGTGGTCTACTTGTACTACTACCTCTTCCGCCTCCCATCATCGACCGACATGCAGGACCACCAAGTCGATGTGCTCTTTGGGTGCGTCCTGCTCACACTTCTCATTGCCGCTGTCCCAATTGTCTATGGCTTTGCGCGCGCCCGCTGCAGCCGCAAGGCAACGACGTCTGTTCCGTATGCGAGTCTTGACTACAACAGCGTCAAGAACCGACTGTTGTTCAAGCTCGTACGATCGATCACAGTGCGCCGCGGTCTCGTCGACGAGTCGGGTGGGTCTCTCTATGCTGCGTTTGCGCATGATGCTCGATACAAGATGCACCCGACGACCAGTCTCCGCAGCGTCGACTGCTTTGTGTTGACCAAAGCACGAGGTCGGACAACGCATCTGGAGCGGCTCAGCCTGCTCTCGAGCCTCGACCGATTGGGCTCTGAAGCCGCGTTGGCGATTTCGGTCGAAAAAGCTGCGACGGCCGAGCGCACGTTTGCCAAGCTTGCGGCGCACAAGAGCAGCTTTCAACTGGCGCTAGGAAACGAGCCGTCGGCGTGGTGCTCGTAATGCGTTGGTGGTCCTTGCACACTTTGTACACGGGCACTGCGCCGCCATCGGGGTTGTTTCATATGCCGCAGCAAACACGAGCGCATTTCATTAGCGACTAAGCTTCAATCGATATTCGTGCTACCGTTGTCTACTACAGAGTGACGCCGACGCTGTCCTATCTAGCCCCTCGACCATCCCAAACGGCAGCTGGTTTTCGTCATCATTGGCAGAGTCCGCGACCCGAGCCCTATTCCACACTCGTGCTACGCTCTACTAGTAGTACAATCGTAGCCACTAGCTGTCCCTACTTGCGAGCGTACTAGCTGTTGTACGTTGGCGTGTGTTGAAACAAAATGTTTTTTCTATCGGCGCTCGTAAAAGAGCATGTAGGCTTTGGCGCGGGCGACTTCGGAGGTCGGTACATCGAGGACACGGTCGTCTGAGACGTGGACCCACCGACGAGGTGCCAAGCGGCGGTAGCACGTGTAGTGCCCGCCCCGCTCGTTGCCGTGGTGAACAATCACTGCGATCGCATCGTAGACCAGTTGATCCTACAAAAGGTATCAACTTGATACTATCCAAGCGCCATCCCAATACATAAGTGTGGTCTTTGGTGTCGTCGTCGAGGAGCAAGTCTTGCGCCAGGAGCGTCGACTCGAAGCGGAGGTACGAGTCGAGCTTGACCATGGCATCTTGCAGAAAGACGTTGCGGTTGATGTGAAACGCAAGCACGTCCGGGCACCGCATGAGCCGGATATGGCGTAAGAAGGGCGCGTACGTCCGCCGGCACGCGCGCGGGTCCTCGATCCCGTTCTTGTCGAGCCAGAGACCTTCGTCGTCGGTCCAGCCCGAGCCGTCCATGTCCAAGTCGCACACGCCATTGGTCGACGCCAGGCGCGTCCCGAGGATATCTATTTTGTAGTTTCGCTGTTTTGTATCAATGTATCAAGAAGAAACGTACCGAGAAGGTTCTGTCGCCACTCGAGCACGTCCGCACGAAGCACGTTGCGGGCGTCGCCGCCTTCCCAGAGCGAGGGCACGTCGACAAACTCCATGGGATCGCCACTCGCCAGCGCGTCGCGCTGCTCCTCGACGACTGCAAGAAGCGCGCGCAGCGTGCAGTTGGTGCACTCGACGCCGTCGATGCGCTCCATGCTCGTATAGTGGCGCCACGACTCGCGGAGGTGGTTGAAAACGTGGCGGCCGTCCATGCTGCCGCAGAGCGAGAGCTTCAGGTCGAGGAATCGGTCTGTCCACATGGGCTTGCGCATATGACAGCGCGTGCACTCCTACATGGCCGCCTCGTACGATAAAGCCAAGTATGGGAGAGTGGGGGACGCACGAGAAGCGTGCCGCTGAGGCCGTAGAACGGGTTGTGACTCTCGGCCGGCGCGCGCCCGATCAAGTCAAAGAGCGAGCCTTTCGGCTGCGTCTTCTTGTACTCGTCTTCGCAGAGCTCCATGATGAGCTGAAACCACTCTTCTGCGTCCTGTCCATGCCATGAGAAAAGGACGATGGAAGCGCGCACCTGTTGGCGATTGCCGCGGAAGCCCTGGATGCTCTTGCCGAGCTGCGCATTCAAGAGGCGCGGCTCGACCGCGCCGCCGATGGTAGACCGTGGGCGTGGCGAGAGCTCTATAACGAGTCGGTATCCGTTGCAGGACGATGCCATGTCGGTACCATGGAGGTAGTGCTGCAGCACGGACGTGAACGCGAGGCAGCGGTCGTCGCCAGGCGTGGCCTCGTCGTCATCGTCCATGGGGCAGATCTCATCGAGGTGGGCGACGAAGCGCTTGGAAGATGCGAGCGCCTGCAGCACCGCGTTGAAGTAGCACGTGTTGCCGAGGTTGCGCAGCCCCGCGACGCTGAGTTCGTCGTCCACCATGATCGCAAATTCCGCCTGCATCCGGATACCGTGCCACTTTACTATACGGATGATGCTCACCAGTGTCAACAAACAGAATCAAGGTATCAAGCACAAGGTTGCATCCGTGGCTCCGACAGTCCGTCCCAGTCCGCAGCTAGGCGTGGACGTTGCTATCGTGTGCAGAGAAGCCTTGTACGCTCAGGCCCAACGAGAGCATTGCCAGCTGCAGATCTCGCGCGATCCGAGCAGCTCGATGCCGTTAAAGAAGCTGACAACCACATCCAGCCAGCACACTGCTTTAGCCCAGTCGTCCAGCCAACGGCTTGACCGCCCTCGACGTCACGTTGGCACCACCAGCGCCGCGTTGGGGGCCACTAGTACAGTTTTAGTTCAACTCGGTTGCATCCAAGTTGGGCTTAGTGGCTTGGCTGCGAAAGGGACATGCAAGGCGCCCAGGAGAGCGCCGACGATCAAGTACCTCTTCCGACAGTCTCCAATTCGTAAAAGCACAGCAAGTAAATCTCGTACCATACCCAAGCGAGAATGGCATGCTGGGCCCTCGTCGCTGTAGTGCTGAGTCCAGGACGCAGGGGCAGTGGTGTCAATGACACGTCTCTGTCGACAAACGCCATAAACAACAACGATATTCGCTGCAGGAATACAAGCGTAAGCGACTCTACGACTGGTCCAGCACCTGTCCACGCACGAGGCACGTTTTTGTATCGGACGACACGTTGCCGTCGAATATGGGAACGCCAACTGCATATCTGTATCGACCTTATTAAACCGGTGCTGCGTTCCGCCCTCGGAATGCCTGGGCAGCAAGCGCGGTTGGTATTAGCCAAGTCGTAAGTGTCTTCGCGGCGGAAGCGGTGTTGAGGAAGGCAGTCGCTTGTCCAACAGTGTCTGACGGGAGGATCCGTCGAAACTGCATCTCGAACCAGATTGCACTTGCAGTTGGCGCCGATGCGTTGACTTGAACTTGGTCGACGCGCCATAGGGTGGTCTCGCATCTTCTTCTGCCCCTTCGCTTCAGCTTCTGCAAACTGGTTCCACATTTTCCCTTCCAAAATGAAAATTTGGACGCCGCTGCGGCGCCCAGACCATCCTAATGGCACAGTCAACGCCAGCGGCGAGAACGACCAGCGATTCGCTTGGTCCACGAGTCCGCCCACGTCAGCATAAACGTTGCCACGTGGGCGGTGGCCTGTCACGCGAAGGTAACGAAGCCAGTGCGCCAGCTGGCACCGTATCCGGATGGGTCCGGACAAGCAACAAAAACGAGGTCAGACCGACAACGAGGCCGACCGACGACCGAAGACGACGACGATGGCCCCGAACCTGACGTCCGACGACTACTACGAGAACCTGGGCGTCGCCCGGAGCGCGACCGAGGCCGAGATCAAGGCTGCGTACGGCCCGGCCTCATGCCGGCCCTCGGCTCACGCATGGGCGTAGGTACCGGAAGCTCGCGATCAAGTACCATCCCGACAAGAACCTTCTGCACCGCGACGACGCCGAGCGCAAGTTCAAGGTCGTCGGCGAGGCCTACAACATCCTCTCGGACCCTGCGACGCGCCACACATGTAGCTGCCTCTCGCCTCGATCCTCTTGAGAAAGAAGCGTCTGTAGATGACGAGCATGGCAAGGCCGGGCTCCAAGACGTCTCGCCGCCCATGACGCGCGAGATGCTGCTTGCGCTCTTTGAAGACTTTTTCCGCTTTGGCAAGCCCATGGACGACGACGCGCCCGATGGTACGAGCGACTGCGTGCGGAGAATGGCTCATGAAGTGGGGTCATAGTCGGGAAGGGCATTTTGCGGGCGACGGGTGGCATCGTCTATGCGCCCGTCAAGGGTGTCATCTACGGCGGGCGCAGTGTCATCGGCGGCGTTGTCATGGGCACGGTCGCGGTCGTCGTCGGTCTCTCGGGCATGGCTGCCAGCTTTGGCATGGGCGTCCTCGAGATGAGCCAGGCAGGCGTCAACGCAGCCAAGAGCAACAAGCGACGCCGGCTCGAGCGCCGCGCGAGCTCGGTCGCGTCGGTCGGCAGCAGTCGTCACGACGTGTCGATGGCCTCGGAGCTACCACCGCCACCGACGCCAGCCTCCTCCACCGAGGGTCCCGAAGACCACGTGCCGACGTTTCTCGGCGGGCTCAAGAAGGCAACCGTTGGCGCCGTTTCGATCCCCATGGCGGTAGGTGTTTTTTGTTTCGTGACGAACTGCTACGGCATCCTCTAGTCGCTTGTCACGTGCGGTACCATGATGGTGGGCGGGACGGCGCTCGCGAGCGGCTACATTGTCGGCGGGTTTGCCGGCGCCATCACCAACATCACATCGGGCTTTAAAGAAGTGCAACTGGCGAACCGGAAGAAGCTCATACTTCGCCGCGCGAGCATGCCAACCGCGCTGCCGTCGCAGCAACCGCCCAGCAGCAAGAAACGGCGAAGGGCGACGATGAAGGGAACCCGGCGGCACTCTGTCGACACGGCCGCAGCGGTCGTCTAAGCACTTCTGTACTTCTGCTGCTCCTGCTGCTGTAAATAAAATAATTCACCGTCCCGTCGTCCTGACCAAGTAATGGCGATGCCACCAAAATGAACGACCGCACGACGAATGAAGCTTGCGTCTACTAGCATGAGACGACGGACTCTAGAGCGACCACTCGACACCGGCACCGCCAAGCGCAGTCTCGAGGCATGTAAACCCGAGCCGTTGCAGGTCGGCGACGAGCGCAGCCAAGGTCTCGCTCGGGCAATCTTGCGGAATGAGCGTGATCGTACAGCCGCCACCGCCTACGCTGGAGATGAGTCCCCGCGCCGAAGCGTCACCGTGACATACCCGCGCCCGTGAGCTTGGTCGTGAGGCCGCGCGCGGCCGACGCAGCGCAGATGGCACGGATGCTAGCATGGCTCACTTGCAGCGTCTCGAGGGCGTCTTGGTTGGCCGCCATCATGGGCGCCAGGACCGATGCCGTCAGCGTCTTGGCCGCGACCTGCGTAGCACACAATAAGAACTCGTAGCACGAGATTCATTGAGCGCACGTGGGCTTGGAAAGAAGAGGCAAGCGCCTCGATGCCGTCAAACTGGCGCTGGATCGCCGCCGGATCGGCGTCATAGAGCACGCGGACACCGCCGACGAGCACCTTGGTCTCGCGCGGAACGTGCGTGTTGGTCAGTAGAATGCGCAGCGGCGGCAGAGCGAGCTTGGTCATTTCAGTCTACGAGTCGACGAGTAAATCATTTGGATGGTCGAATAGGTTTAGACGGACCGTGGGTCCCTTCTTGAAGACGATGGCGCCGCCGTACGTGGCGACGCTGTTGTCGACACCGGACGGGTTGTCGTGCAGGAGCACCTCGGCCGCGAATGCATACGTGTTGACGTCATCGAGGGCTACCGTGGTCGTCGTCGACGCCGTCGCTCTGCACACATGCCATCACTCAACGCTCAAGCATCCATTGAGGTAGTCGAAAATGTACTTGAGAAGCGCAGCGGCGACGGCCGTGCAAAAGGCGGCGGACGAGCCGAGGCCAGCGCCGACGGGGAACGCACCGCTGACGACGTCAATGTCGACGCCCGACCTGGAGCGAGGGTAGAATGAGGAGGGCGACGTGGACGTACGTGGTCGACGAGAGAAGTGATGGCGCAATCGCAACGAGGAGGAAGAGCGCGGGCCGAAGCGCGTTGATATCCTTGGGGTGCTCGTCGACAAGTGCCGACTGGAGCGCAGCAACAATGGCCACGGACGGCCGCGGGAGGAATCCATCGGTCAAACCACGGAAGACCGACGCCAGCGCCGCGAGCGGCCACGACCGCACGAGCGGCTTGCCGTCCTTCATGCTCGTGAGGTTGTTCAACGCAAGGCGAACCGACGGCGTCGCCGTGGCGCTCTACAGAGACGGTCATGGTCCTCACGCATGCTGCCTCTCGACGTACGACGCGCGCCGAGACGCGGAGGCTGGACACGGACGCAGCGATGGCCGTCGTGCCATAGACGACAGCATGCTCGCCGAAGAGGATGACCTTGCCAGGCGCGCTCGCTTCAGTCGTCAGGAGGTGGACCATTGTCGTCAGTCGTTGAAGAGGCTGCAATAGGACCGACAGTGACACACGGCTTTTTTATTTTCGGCACGGCCAATTATTGCTGGCATGTGCCGAAAACAAGACGCGGGGTAGGGTCTTTGTACCACAGGATTTGGGCGCCGAATCTGGCGATGCATCAATCTGGTATGGTACCTGAAAACCAGCACACCAACCTCGCGCAGGTACTCTTCGAAATCTGGAATGTGGCATCTGGCATCTGGACCAACCCAAGGCACTTGTATCGACTGGGTGGTCGTACGCCGAAGGCTACTAGTCGTACCGTTCGACAGCTCCGTTCGACTAGATCACGACGCCCAGATCGTGACGTCCATGGAGCAAGCGCCCATGACCGCCTGCGACTAGGCGAGTGGGATGCTTTTCTACGGCGCTCGCAGCTGCTATGGGAGTTGATCGCAGTGGGACAAGTAGCTACGAAGATAGTGTTCGAGAAGCGTCTTTCGCTTGCTATTAAATACATGGCGCGCGTCTACGGCTCCTTGGCCGTGAGGTGCTCTTCCATCTTCTGGATCTTCCCAATGAGCGACGAGATCTGGTGGTGGTGCGAGTCCATGGCGGTTGAGAGGGCTCGCTGCTGGCGCGCGGTCACCTCAAGCTCCTCCAACTTTGAGAGAAGCTCGGGCAGCGGCAATGGCTCGTCCTTCTTCGTCGTCGGCGTCTTCTTGCTTGTCGACGACGTTCGTTTTGCAGACTCGGGCGCCGCCAGCATCGGCATGTCTTCGTCTTCTTCTTCGTTTGGCTGCTCGACGATCGACGACGCACGCGAGTTGGGCGGCGACGCACACTCAAAGACGGCCGCGGCTTCAACTTCGGATGTCGCAAGGCGTCGTGGTGGCTTCTGCGACGCCGGGGACTTGGGTGCCTCGGGGCGGAGAGGTTTTGGCGCCTCAAGTCGCTTCAAGAGCACTTTGGTGACCGCCTGGAGCTGCTCGACAAGACCCGAGACGTTGCCGTGGCGCGCGCTGCGATCGTAGAGCTCGACGAGACCCGCGATCTTGCCGCCGCTCAGCTGGAGCCGCATCGCTGCGTAGAACCGGTACGGTGGCGACGCCGTCGGCAGCAAGTCGGGGCAAATGTAGAGCTGCGCCGAGTCGAGGGCGGCCGAGGACAAGCCGTCGTCGATCGCGTTGGGTGTCGGGAGGCCAGACGCCCCGATGCGTCGCAAGGCGCCGGCCTCCAGGACACTAATGGTCGCCACCGCGCACTGCGTCGTGATGGCGAGCGTCGAGCACATGGTGTCGTACTCGGCGCTCGGGTCGAGCGAGACAAAGGCGTCGTCGTTCAGTTGGGTCTCGGGTGGCGGCTGCACGAGGCTCTCATTCAAAAACGAGAGCGAGATCGTGTCGGTCTCATGCAAGAGCGACGACCGACACGCCGTGCTGCTCCACTCGAGCACCGAGTCGCGCGTGTTGGGGAACACAAACGAGCCTTCCTTGCGCGTCTCGAGGAGTGGGGTCTCCGAGTGGAGTCGTTGTAGTGTCACCTTGGTGCTCGGTGCCCGCGCAGCGACGACCGGCGTATTGGCGAGCGGCGTGTAACCGAGGCCGTTGAGGCAGTTGACGCAGACGCGGATCTTCTCGAGCTTCTCGAGGATCGGCGCCGTCATCCACTTGACGCTGCAGTCGTGGCAAATGACTTTGCCGCAGAGCCGACAGTGTTTTTTCTGCACAAAGAGCGAGAATTTCGTGTCGCAGATCGAGCAAAACGTCACGTTGCGCTTCGGCTCGAGCTCGGCGTGCACGGTGCCGCCGTCGACGAGGTACTGCTCGAGGCGCATCGGGTAGAAGTATTCTTCGAGGCTCAGCACCTACACCGTAGAGACGGTCGTCGCCCACACGGCAAGGGTCTTGGTACATACGCGGCTGACGTAGTGCTGCATGAGCTTTTGGTTCTTGGACTTGGAGACGTTGGCGATTTGCGAGATTGCGAGGCAGTAGTAGTCCATCGTACCGACGATCTCGGTTTCGATAAACACGTGGCCCGACTAGACATAGTAGTTTAGGAGACACATGTGGAAGATAATGTCTTGTACGCGAAACACGAGGTCCCGCGGCAGCTGCGGCGCGTTGGGTCCGCGCGGGTCGACGAGGCCCCGCGGGTCGACCGAGTGGAGACTGCAGACCCAGCCTTTTCGCATCGAGCCGTCGTGTTCGGTGAGGTACTCGAACTCGTCATGGCACTAGTACCATCGATGATGGGAGCGTTGAGCTATCGGAAGGACCTACTTCGAGAAGACACAGGCTGTGCACGTCGGTGCCCCGGTCCACGAGCATCCATTCGATGCCAATGTAGTGCAGCGGGTGCTCGGGCGTCCGGGGCACGAGCGTCGCGAGCGTCTCGCGGCAGAGCGCGGCTTGCTCGTACACGCCCGCGTACGCCGCCAGCTTCTCGGGCGACGTGAGGGCAAAAAAGTGCGCGACCTCGGCGAGCGTGATTTGGATCCGCGTGTAGCCGCACGTCGCGTCAAAATGCGGCTCGAAAAGGTCCTGGTTCTTGCGGATCTAGAGACGCCGAGATGGTTGGCCTATGTGTGCACAAGTGGAGGCGCACCTTGGCGCAGCGCAGCGTCTTGGCGCTCGAGATGACGCGGTCGACCGGGAGGTTGTCCATCGCGAGCGCGTTCATGATGGTCTTGTGGCACGTGCGCTTCGCCTTCTCAATGTAGTCGAACGACTCGTCCGGCGAGAGCGAGAGGCGCGGCTGGCGCATGGCGGGCGGCAGCGGCGGCTTGCCCCACTGAGTGTTCGACGTCTTGCTCGTCGCCGACCCGACCGAGCTCGTGTTACTGGACGGCATCTGCGGCAGAGGAAATCAGCGACTGGGTACCTTCAAGCTTTCGCACCAGACCATGTGGCTGGACAGATCGATGTACCGAAGAGGATGATCGACTTTGCTGTTTGATGCAGTGGCTGGCGTACAGTGTATATACACTGTAAATCGGAATACTGGCGCCGGGTATATGATTGCATCGGGTGGCCACCGCAACACTTATCGTGTCTTTGCAACGCCGTCGCGGCGAGGGCGTCCACTGGATACTAGGATCTGTCGATCGTCTGCGTCCCATACTAGTAGCAACAACGACTAGGGCGGTTCGACTAAAGTACTGAGAAGCACTGAAAAGCACTGGAAAGGCGCCTTTCTGCGCTCAAAGTGTATGTAATTCCAGACGCATGCACAATGTTGACACTGCAACGCGTCGTCGCCAGTCGCTGTCCAGAAAAAGGGATATTTGGTGTACCTACTAACTAGAGGACAACGGTCTTACGAGGACAGACTCGAGTCGACGTGGTATACACCTGGAGCGCTATCGTTGAAATGCCGCGCTCGTACAATTGCACATGGAGTTGGGAGTATGGTTGCGTGGTTTCTAACCAGAGTCTCTTGGGTTTCTATCTCGACGAGTGTTGGACTGAACGCTTTCCCGCGCGCAGCATGAGATTGGTGCCACCTCCCTCTACAATGACGTCAGCATTAGCACAACGTAGTGAATCTCCCACTTATTGTCCGGGCTGTGCTACCAGCAGAATTTGATGACAATGGTCAGTGCGACGACGTAACAACGTTGAAGGCAAGGTCCTTCGTCTGGAGCCCTTCCCACTTGCTCTCAAAATCTTTTATTGCGTCTCTCTTGACGTGTTGTTCACCCAAGTCGTACCCACATTGCAGTTTGCATTCGGTTGAATCGGGGAAAGTTAAATTAACGAGGTCGGCAAAATCGATGGAGAGACCGTCTCGGGCAGCATCGTATCGGGCGACACAAGGGTGTCCATATCCAAGCACTTTTGCAGCTCAATGCGGTGGTGGCACTCTTGGATCTCGAGTGTGCATTTGAGCGCGGTCTCTTTCGCAAGCATGGCGGCGACGCGTTGGTCGGCGAGCTCGTGGCGCTCGTTCTCTACCCGGATGCGCACGGCGTGTGCGGCGTCGAGTCGTGCTTGGTGCTCGCGCTACGTCGTACCAATGGTAACACGAATATACAAGCAAGGGAAATAAGAAGTGTGTTCTTTTTTCCCGTGAAAAAAGGGACGGCAATACCTCGCGGAGCGCGCGTTGCTGGCGCAAGTGCGCTTCGTGCGAGAGCACTTTTCTCTTTGCGTAGACCTTTGCCTGGAGCACGGCAGCTTCTTTTCGCGCGCACTCGACCTCAATGGCCTAGTAAACGCACTGTCAGGTATGCACATTGCTGCTGAAAGCAAGTACGTGGCGCTTTTGTTTGACGCTGCGGGCACTCGACGCCCGCTGCGCTTGCACGCGAGCAATCGTATGCTACAGCGCGGTTTGTGGTGAGCGCGACAGGTTGCAAACGATTTTGAGCAGCGCACCTGGAGCCGCACCTTGTGCTCGGCTTGAAGCGCCAGCGTTTTCTCGCGTCGGGCGTGAATGGCGCACTCGTCCTTCTCCCGCCGAGATTGGCGCAAGCGTCGGTGGTGCTCGGCCTCTTCCTTGGCCTGCACCTCTCGACAGTGCTCGACATAGAGCTTGCTTGCGTCCACCTCGGCCCGCTCTCGCTCCATCTAATACCGCCGCCTTGTGATTCAAGATGACGCACGAAGCACCGACCTCGAGAAACGCCACGCGGTTCGCAAGCAACCTGGCGTTCTCTTCGGCTTGCATACGAGCTTGTCGGACGTGAAAACACTCGGTCGACGGTGACGCTGGCGGGGCCTTGGGACGTCGCGGGTTTGGTGATGATGGCACCGAATGCTGTGGTGGCGCCAGCGTCAGCGGCTCCGACTCTGCTAATATTGTCGGCGGCGTCGCGTCTTGAGGGCGTCGTGGTTCGAAAAGCGGTTGTGCGACGTCCATAGACACGGGTGTCGTTTCAAGCGGCTTGTCGATGAGGCAGTAGCGCGAGATGATGGGTTTGGTGGTGCCTGACCAGCGCTGCGGGGCCTGCAGCACGGCTTGGCGGTTCCCGGGCCGAGGCGAGAGGAGAGCCACAAGGGTTCCTCGCTGCGAGACGTTGGCCGACTTGGGTCGATCCAGCACGCTGGCCCGTGCAGAGCGCATCTTATCTGTCAGAGACAGCCTTTTGATCTATCTTTGGCCCCCGCTTTTTTATTACGTGGCGCACCCGCAATGCAAGACGTGTTTTGGCCAATCACAGGGCCGTATCGAGATGGCATATTTTGATTGGCGAAAATTCGCGTGACGACTGCCCCATCTGCCAGACCAAGTGACGACGCTCGCCATGGCCGACCCCAGGATCGCTCTCCAGCCGCTCGCGCATCCGATGTATCAGCCGCGGACGCCGGAGCTGACGCCGGTGGCGGCGCCATCGCCGTCGACCAAGGCCCTCCTCTTCCGCCTCTGCCTGTACGGCTTTTTCGTCGAGCTCAAGCCGTCCGAGGCGTACCTCAACCAGTTTCTGACCCAGGACAAGGGTACCGCCGCCGCTGTTCGCATGGCCACACACATATGGTGGTTGTAGGCTTCACGAACGAGGAGACGAACGACTACATCTACCCATGGTTTTCGTACGGCAAGCTGGCCATGCTCCTGCTCTTGCCGCTCGTCGTCGAGCGCTTCCAGTACCGGACCGTGCTCATCATCGAGTCGTGCGGCTTTCTCTGCACGCGGCTGCTCCTGATCTACGGCGCGTCGCTCTTTCTCATGCAAGGTATGAAATTAGCCGTCCTAGATCACAGCGTTCAACCAAGTCTCCTTAGTCATGCAGGTGACGTACGCGGTCGGGACTGCCACCAAGATTGTCTACTTGACCATCATCTACCGCCAAGTCCCTCGCGACGAGTACCACCACGCGACTGCGCTCGTCTGGACTGCGCAGCTCGCCGGCAAGTTCGCCGCGGGCCTCCTCGGCCAGGTACGCGTCCTCTTTATCTTGCTGCCGACGATGACGTCGACGCGTAGGTCATGGTGACGCACGACGTGAGCCTCCTCGCGCTCAACTACGTGTCGTGTGCAAGTGTTGCTGTCTCCGTCGCCCTCGCCTTGAGTCTGCCCCATGACAAGGCGGACGTGGCGATCGTCGCCGCGTCAACAATCGAGAAGCGACCGTTGGCGCGGCGGGAGACGGCCGATAGCAACCTCAGTGTCGAGAGCAGCGTCCAGATCCGGCCGCACATGCACCGCAAGTCGGCCTCGAGCCCGCCGCCGAGCGTGTGGCACTGGACCAACATCCTCGGGCTGACGTGGATCGTGCTTACGTGCGGCTCGAATTTGTACCAAAACTACATTCAAAACCGGTGGACCGACTTTACGTGTACGACGTCGCCAGCATCATGGCCTTGAACTCTCAAGTTTGCCTAGTGTCGACAAAGGAGAATGGCTTGATGACCGCGCTCTTCACGCTCTCGGGCGCGGCCGCTACGATTCTCATGGCGCGTCTCGCCAAGAAGCTGCCACGGTCCCCCACGGTACGTCGTCGGCTTGGTGCACTCTGTTCGGACCCGCGGCGGTTAGGGTCTTCGGGTCCTCTTGCTCGTCGGGTCGTTGGGGCTCGTTCTTGCGTCGCTTCGGCAAACGTTCGTTGAGAGTCTGTGGCAGTCGTACCTCTGGTACATTGCGTACGGCGCCATCTTTTACGCGCTCATTACGACGGTACATCGTATACGCTACTAGGAATTCTAATTCCCTTGACACTATCTCGTGCAACGAATCCATGACGTGGTGTAGGTGAGCGCCGAGCTCGCGCTGCAGTGCACGACCAACGACTTTGCCAAAATGTTTGCGATCGTATCGCTCTGCGCGTCGGTCCTCGAGACTGTACGTCGACCAACTCGTTCGTTTGAAAGCTGACGCGTCCTCTGTAGATGCTCACGTTTGTGCTCCAAGGCACGACCAACGGCGTGAGCACGTGGTTCGGCACCGTGACCGTCCTCCACGGTCTCCTCCTCGTCTTTGATTTGTACGTGTGCTGCCGCGTCCCGCTCGAGCCGCTCCGCGCCGAGCCGACGCAGTCGTAAGCCTCGACTAACGACAACACGCAACGTCAACGAGATGGTCATGTTGCAGCAAAGAAGAGAAGCTACAAGAGCCCGTACTCTTGCCGGCACCGCTTGATGACGCCAATGAGAAAGCCAGACCGGTTCCGGACGCTGTCGAGGTTGGACGTCGTGTACCGGTTGAGCACTTCGAGCGCGAGCGGCTCCGAGAGCTGGCCGAGGATCTCGTAGCACTTTTCGGCCAACTCGTCGATCGACGCGAGGACGCCGGCGGCCACCATATGCGAGAGCTCCGTCTGCACCGAGAGCGGCATGTTGCGAATGTGTTGGTCAAACGCTGGGAGATGCGCCCACGGCATGGGCGCGCCAAGGTGGGCGCCCGTGGGTTGAAACGCCGACGGCGGGCGGGAAAAATCGCCGGTCGGAAACCCGCGCGGGTCGAGGCGGCCTTGGGGCGGCCCCGTCGCTATCCAGTCATCAGAGTGAGCAAGGTTCTTTGAACGTACTGCGCTCGCGCTCCATGACACGTGTGATGATGCCGACAAAGAAGCCGTTGATGTTGTCGACGTGCGCCGTGTCGGTCGATCGAAAGTTCTCGACGGCCCGCAGCGCAAGGTGGTCTGGCAGCTTCATGAGCCGAAGGAGCACGGTATCGTTGACCACGTCCTTCATGCGCGACGTCGCATACACATCTTCCATCGCATCACGCACGGTCGGCGACAAGCGAGGGTACATGTCCGACTGCCGGAAGAGAGCCACGAGCGACGGCGTGGACGAACTGCTGCTGGTGCTGCTCGGCGCGGTCCGCGCCGCCGACGCAAAGAGCTTGGACTTGCCACTCGTCACCTTGAGGTCGCCGGGTGCCGAGGACTTCTCGGCACGGATCTGGTCCCACAGCGGAAACGACCGCACCGGCGTCTCGGCCAGGATCCCTTGGGGCGGCTGCGGCGGCGCGTAGCCAAATTCAAAGAAGCTCGAGTCGGTGGCGGTCGACGGGTCCACCTAGATATGTATATGCGTGGGATCCGGCGATAGGATCTGAGGTGTACCTCGGCCACGGGGCGAAGCGAAGTGACGAGCGGGTTTTCTTGGTGGTACGTCAGTATCAACTGCGTCAAGTGCGCGTCTTTGGCGCGAATCTACATGCGTGCATACGTCGCTGCGCCTCGAGATACAAGGCCAAACGACGTACGGTCGAGAGTGAGCTCTTGACAAAGCGGGAGACCACCGTGAGCTGTGCAAAGGCTGGGAGCTTGCCGAGGGCGTCGAGGGCGCTCGACGACCGCAGATCGCGCAGCGTAAAATTGGCCGCGCCGTCAGCCTGGCAGTCGAGGAGTCGGGCCCAAACAGCGTCGGCCAAGATCGGTGCCGGCTTGGGCGTCGCAGGCTCCTTCTTCATTGGCTTCTTGGCCTTGACGTCCGAAATGATGTCGCACAGCGCGGTATACGTGTCGGGCGGCACGGCGGACGCCGTGATCACAGCCTGGAAGCGCTTGATGACCTCGGCGGCGTGCACGGTTGTGAGCGCGTTCATGGCCAGCAGCGTGCGCTCGTCAAAGACCACGCTCGGCTCCGTGAGGCGAATCTCGGCCAACACGGCCTCGACGCACTCGTGGACGCACGGCGGCAGCGGAAAAGCGCGGATCGGCGGCGTGTTCACGTCGTCGGCGGGCATTTCGTAGTCGTCTGGATCGTACGGCTCCATCTCGGCCGGGTCCGCGTCGTCCGCAAAGAGCGGCAGCATGGCCGACGCACCGTCCGTCGTCGTACTTGCTGGCGCGTCGTCACCATCCATCGTGACGTCGACGACGTCGGTAGTCGTGGGCTCATCCTCCGGTGCGTCGGCTTGAGCGGGTGCTTCGTCGGTCTGTACGATCTCGGGCGTTTCATTGACCTGTACAGCGTCGGGCGCTTCGTTGACCAGGACGGCGTCGGGCGCTTCATCGACCTGTACAGCTTCGGGCGCTTCCTGGACCTGTATAGCTTCGGGTGCCTCATAGACCTCGGGTTCTTCTTGGACCGGCACGGCCTCGAGCTCGTTGGCCATCGGCTCATCCTCCGGGGCGTCGTGGACCTGCACGACGTCGGGCGCGGTGTGCGATTGCTCAGGCTCGGCTGCGTCGTCCATCTGGTCGGGCTCGATGCGCTGCGTCCACATCATCTCGGGCTCGTCGTCGTCTTGGATCGAGATCGGGCTATCGGCAGGCGTGGCGTCTGCGCTCTCTGTGTGTTCGGGATCGTACTCCATGGTCTTGTCCTCACCTGCGACGTGCTCGTGTGCGGCCACGTCGTCGCTGCGGCTGGCGTCATCCAGCTCGACGGCGTCCAAGGCCATCGTAGGCGCTTCGGCTTCGACCACCTCCATGTCATGATCGTGCTGCAGCTCGCTCTCGTCGTCATCGCCGAGACGCGCCTTCTTGGCGACATGGAGCACCGGCTTCTCGTCGTCAAAGTCGTCGTCATCCTCCTCCAGGTCGTCGCCATCCACCAAGTTTTCTTCCAGCGGACGCTTCTCCGAGACATGGCTCATCGGCAGGAAGCCAGAGTCGGCGATCGGCGCGGCCGGCCCTGTGGACCCCTCCATCGTCGCTTCCATTTGCACCAAGCAGTGGGGTCGAGATTAAGTGCGACGGATTCAACGTACTTAGCCGTTTTCGAACGTTGCGGCAAGTTCGACGCACTTAACACGAATCAAGTGGCGTACTTTATCGAGACATTGTGTGACTACAAGGTAGTCAATGGGCGACAAGCAGTTAACTCGAGTCCTTTGGCACTGTCCGCGACAAACTTCGACAGCGATTAACGAGGATGCATTGTATCTCAACGTTCAAGCATCTCTACCAGGTATACGAGGGTCCATCGCCAACACTAATACCAGTAGCGCCCTGGACAATGCGTCTGAATCACATGTGTCACGCTCACCACGATAAGTTGTCTGTATTGGAATATACCACTTGGGCTTCAACGTTGAACATCGATGCCAATAAGAGCTATACCAGAATGACTTCAGCACCGCTCTCATCATCGCTCGATGGAACGAGCGCTTGGTCGACGATCGCGCGCGCTTGAGCCGCTTGCTGACTCTTCACGCGCTTGGCTTTGGCTTTGGTGATTACAGCAACGACGACCATGGCAAGTGCGAGACAAGTACACGCCGCGGAAATGACAAGGAGGGCAAAAGTTGTCGTTGGCGTCGTCGGTACAGCGGTCTTGTCGGTCGAATCTTCGGACGCAAACTTGTCTTCGACTTGCTTCGTACTGCCACCGATGGGAAACACGCAAGCGTAGTAGCTGGCGGCGCTGCTCTCGACGACGGAGGCGACGATGCTGCAAACGGCGTTGGACGGGGCGACACACCCGACGCTTGGCACATAGCTCGGTAGAAACGGGGTGCAGTCTGCGATCGCAATGTCGCCGACGCGCGGACAGAGAGTGCCGTGGACGCCACAGACGTCGCCTTCTATAGCGTACGTGGCGTCCCCCAGGACGTGCACGGGTGTGCTTTCACCGCTGGGTGATTCGATCGTAGGCATGTCTCTCTCACGCACGTGGTTAGAGGCGGCGTTCAGCTCCCCAAAAGCAACGAGATCGAGCAGTCGACCAAAGCGCATCATGTGCTCTAGCCCAAAGAAAATGATTTCTCCTTACAAGTGGACCCCCATCGATCGAGTGGGTGGTCATGGAATGTATTGCGTCAACAAAGCGTTCAAAAAGCAAAGACATTCATATTTAGTGTTGTAGCATCGATCCAGCACGAATACGGCTTCGGGATCATGCCAATGAAGCGAAGACGACCCCCACTACACCTATCGTCGTCGAGAGTTCAAGGCGACAACCTTCTACGGAGTCGATTGCGATCGTTCCTTGCACAGCACCGCAGTGCTACCAGTCGTAGTAGTGGTTCTATGGAACTAGGCGCATGGAAAAAAGATAGCAAAGGCCAACAGATACCGACACTCGACCTGGTTTTTGTACGGGGGCATGGCAAAGAAGCGCGAGCGGTTTCGTTCTGGGTGCAACTCTGTCAACGCCGCTGGATGCGCAGCCACCGACGCCCGGATGCAGCACATCAGATCTTAGCGCGAAAAGGCAGTTAATGGAGGCCATCAGGGATCGATTGACCATAGCCAAGCTCAATCAATGCATTCGTACAAGACTACGAGCCATGTGCGCTCGACAGCAAAGTTGCGCTCTTTGCACTTGTAACGGACAGCGTTCGGATCGTGTTGCGATCTTTCGACGGTGTCGCTAGGTCGGTCGTTGCGATGCCAGCCAATCCACGCGCAGTCGTTTCCCTTGCCCGCCCTGTGATTGG